AAAAGCGACGACATGAACGATAAGAGATGAAGCGGGCATTGAAATATAGAGGAAAAGCGTCGCGTTCTCTCAGAAAGTAGGAGAAAAAAGAGGGGGGGGGGAGGGGGGGGGGGTAAAAACTGCGAATTGTGTTTGCCGAGGAGTAAACGTGTTTGAACAAATGTCTTGGCGCGACCCAGATGATGGAGGACTGGCTTTTAACGTTTTCCTGTCGCCTCCGGTTATCGTAATCCCTCCGATAGTTTATCAACTTTGTAACTTTGCGGCAGTATGGTTCTTCATTCAGCTTGAAATTTACGGGAAAGTGAAGATTGCTCGAGAGGGAAGTGATTTTTGTGTTTTTGTACAACGGAATTGAACTAAGCATAGTGAGTTACAGAGAATACGTATCCGGATAAACTCGGTTGCACGTTCTATCGCGCGAAAGACGGATAAATTCTTTATCCATAGTCTTGATAAACGATAGGGAAGTGGAGAATGGAATGGTAGAATATTCTGACGAATTATGACAAGAAAAATTTATTTCTGACAATATTTCTCTCTTTTACTCTCTCTCTCTCTCTCTCTCTCTCTCTCTCTCTCTCATCTGTCCGAAAAATATGATTCGAAAGTTTTTATTTATTTCCGCTTTATTATTAGCTAATAAGTAGAGGTAGAGAATGGCGCGTTACTCGAATCCTATCTCTGGAAAATGGTATGGTTTGTCATCGACTTCAGGGTAATATGTACCCTTACAAATCGGTTTTATACAGCAATCTGGATAAGGTTTGTCTGATCTTGCAGCTATTATACCAATAACTTCTTTCTCATCATTACAAGCCACTAACGGGCATCTGGAAAGAAATGGAATAAATGGATAGAAAATTTACATTAGCATTGAAAACACGATGGAATCTTGCAGTTGTGCAAATTCCATTGCGAAATACGGAGTGTGTGCTGTTAATTATTTAAAACGTATCAATCAAAAAAGAAAGATACTTATTGTCAGAAATGTGAAATAATATGAGATTTTTTTATTATAAAATGCTTTCTCGCGATATATTTCATTTAAAACCGTTAACTTTACAATACATCGTGTCCCAGAAATCATGTACTTTCTCTGAGACACAGAGTCAAAATATAATAAAACTATTTTTTTTTTAATTTTAAAGTTTTTTCTCTAATTTTTTTTTTCTTGTAACCGTTTACGAATTTGAAAGTTCGGTAAATTAAGCTTCAGCATTACCCGAAAAATTTATTGTTCCTTGCATAAATTAAGCACATTTTCTTTTGTTAATTTATAATTTAGGTGTCTAATCACATATTATTGTCACTTACGCCCCGTGAAGATTAATTAATTTGCATTAAAGCGAGGATCGGAATAATCAAAAGATCGTTGTGTACCAGCCAGTTTTTTCGATTACAAAATTAGGCATCAAAAGCTGTCATTTACGTGAAAGACGAAATTTTTTTTATTCTTTAAATAGAATTTTCCGAGATACGTGAAATCTTATATCTAGTTAAGTTAAGTCAGATATATAATTATATGATGCTTTGACTTACGAGGCCGTAATTATTTGACCGTTTGGTTTACAAGCCAACAAGCTGCACGGGGTAGTCGTGTGTATAGTGTGTATACCCACACTGAACACATCGCTTCCAAAAAGGCAGCCATCTAAAAGCATATCTGTGTGGCAAAATCCGAAAGTACTGTCCGAAAAATATGATTCAAATTTTTTTATTTATTTACGCGTTATTATTAGCTAATAAGTAGCTACATGGGTTTCGGAATGATCCTAGTCGTCTAATTTGCAAATCTGCTAATGAATCTCTCATTGAAATAATATTGAGGTTGCACATAATGTGTGCACGTGTACGATAAGTAGACTGAGAGAATTTTTTGTTATATTTTACCCTTAAATTCACTACAAACTTGAGACAACTTGACAATCAAGGAATTTTTAAAATATACAAAAGACATTTTACAAACAACGTGATAAAAATTACCAAGCAGATTGGTAAATTTTGAAAAATTATTGAGATTTCTTAGATATATTTTAGTAAAATTTAGAAAAAAAAATCAAACATTTTATATTTTAATGTAACAGATATTAATATTTTTTATTATGGTGAATATTAATCACTAATCAGAATAGCTCGGATAAAATTCTTGGTGGTACATGTTGTCCCATAACTACCATGATTTCAGGGCAAATTTTAAGAGAAAATTTTTTCCACATGTAGCAAGTCTTTTGAGAAAGTACTAATGGCAATATCGTGTCGTTTATAAATTGGCTAAATTATTCTATACACGTTTGTTTTACAGTATCCGGACGTAACAATGTCTTTTCCTCAGCGATAATCTCCCAATCGGATAATTATATATGCAACATACCTCGTACTTTCTCAGAGTAAACCATCCCGCCGCAGATCAACAAAATTGCGCAGATGTAACCCTTCATCTTGCTTTCTTGCTTAGGGAGTCACTAGGAAGAAAAGACTATATTAAAATTTCGAAAAATCACCTTTTATATACCGTTTCTCCTTCTTTCATGGATCTCTGGAATATCTCGTCTTCTGTTCTGCACGAACAGGCACGAAGCAAAATGTGCGATATCGCACGTGGCGATA